CCCAGGACACCAGAAGACATGTCCTATTTTCAAATAGTTTATGAGTTCTTTAATATCCACCTGAACAGGCAGATGAGACCTTGATTTAACATTGTATCCAATGGATTACATTGGAGTGTCAACTGGGCCATGAATTCAAAATCCTTGACAAGAGCTTGAACCTAGAACCTAGAACCTCAGAGGAAAGAGTGCTACCAACTTAGCCACGATGAGGTTGCTTCTGAACATGCATTTATGAAACTATAAACTAATCAGATAGATGGATTCCATAGAATAAGGAATTGTTTTGCCCAAAAAATATACAGTCAATTCACTTTACAGTATATTCTGTGAAGCGCTTTGAGATGTCTCGAAGACGTGATAAGGCGCTATATCAAATGCAAGGATAATTATTATTATCTACAAATCTGTTCGCACCCTGGCACCTCCCTTCCTGTCTGACCTGCTTACTCCCCACTCCACCACCCGCCGCCTCCACTCGGCTGTCTCCAGCCTCCTGCTTGTTCCTCGTCCCTTCCACTCCACTGTCGGTGGCCATATTTTCAGCCACAATGCCCCAAACTCTTTCCCTCAATCCCTCTGCCTTGCCCCCTCCTTCCCCATTTTCAAATCATGCCTGAAGCCCTTTCTCTTGGACCATGCTTATGGTCACTTTCCCCATCCCACCAGCTAGGTGTCAGGCGCCACCACTGTTAAGCGCTCTGAGATGCTACCCACCTTGAAGGGCGATATAAATGCAAGTTGTTGTTGGATATCGTTGTGGCTGCTTAGCAAGGATAAGTAGATGCATTTAGCAAAGATAGGTAGGTTAGGATCAGGATATCAGATGGGTTGCCCATTGGAGGTTGGAGACTCATGTGATGACTCCAACTCTACATGACAAACTTTGATCAGTAGGACCATTATGTGATCGCACGTAGAATACAGATGTGGTTATATCTATTACAGTATCTTTTGGTACACTTGTGCATGTCTCATGTTGGGTCCGTTAGGAAATGGTCACTGTGATAAGAATCCTTTATTGTGATGTCCACATGTCCACAGAGCAGGATATGGTAACAAATAGTGCTGAAGGCAGATATGGCTGTGAACTATCTGCATGCAATGCTGAGTTTCAGGATAAATTTAGATGAAAACAAAGAGAAACCAACATTAATAAGGTTATATTAATATGTTATTTTATCCTTCTACGATTATGATGACAAGTGTTCCTGAGAACATCCCAGTGATTCGCTAATATATGATCATACAATTTTTAAATGAATCAAGATTTAGATGATTTTTCCCCCAGTATGGTTTTCTTCAAGGTGTGTATTTGAGCTCTGGAAGCCGACTCAACTTTCAGGTGGACTTCACTTGTTTAATGCGCGTGTATTGTTTCACCAAGACTTTGCAGTGTTAATCGCACTTGGATTGCTATCTAATTTTCAACAGATGCTTTTGCATTTTAAATTCACAAATCCTGTTTTAAATCGCTTGACTTAACCTGCCCACAGACTTATACTAGAACTAATGTTTGCTATTAAAATACAGATCATGATCAAATGATTCAAGGTTTGTTGGGCAAAATGATCTTTCAGTGTGTAGAATCCATCAGAGCTGGAAGCGTGAAAGATTCTTTGGTAAATACCTTAACTAACATATGTAATAGCTGCATATGTTACATAACATTTGGTTAACTTCGAGCCATTTTAATGGATTGCACACTGACATAACAGTTGCAAATTACTTTGTCAAAGTTATTTTATGCTATTTAATTTTAAGTGCCAGTGCTTTGATTCCGTTTAATCACGTACGTTTTGGAGGCGACCGCATCGCTAATATTGTTTTATATTGTGGCGTTAGGGATAGTTACAAAATATCATTAAATAAAGCCATGCGAATGTGTCTTGAATTTAACCCTTCACTGACATATTCTGTCTGTGTCTCAGACAGCGAATAACGACAGTTGATGTTTCATTTTGTTTATTACTACATTAGATCTTTCAGATGATTTTTCTGGAGGGATGTGAAATTGATTGGGTTTTCATATTGTTTCAGCATTGTCTGGTGCAAGTACAATGTTGGAATAGAATAGTCGGCATTTTCTTTGAACTTGCATGTGCAAATGAACAGTTTAATAATACTTCCTATCTGTCTATGTTATATATATATATAATAGATACATGCATTGACCAGTTGACTTTGTTTAAGTCCCTTCGCAAACAGTGTTCCAACTAATTCCAGACTTTGAATTACTTTTGACTGAGGCGAGTGTTGGGGACTTTGCTCTTACAACACACAGGGAGGGAGGGAGGGAGGGAGGGAGGGAGGTGTCAGGAAACGGGTTTGGGGCTCAGATAAATGTAGAGAAATCAAATGAGAATAGCACTACAGAAGTAAGCTGCCGTCTTTATTAATGGGCATAAAAAACTTGACACTTCAGCATTCAAAACTTATTTGAAAGACAATACGTGCAAATGCTCAGAAGGCTGCCGAGATATACAAAATTATGTGGAGAAACCGATGATGCAAAAAAGCTGATACATAACATGGTCCGATCCGTCTAAAAGCAGCGCTGAAGAAACAGCTGGAGTTAAGCTTCTAAATATCCCAGTCTACACTTTAATTACTGCTTTTCTATTTATGTATCGGGATGAGTTTATTTCCAACCTTCACAACTATCGTCACCCATAATGTATCACATGCTTTTGACTGATCCGAGTTGTTCAGTGTCCCCAAAACACTATTATTCTTATAGGAAACCAAATGCATTCGTGTTTTTGCCCTCGTAAATAAATCGGTAAGTTTCCTCGGGGTTTCGTGGGATAAAAGGTGTCGCGCTATTATTTAGGTTTTACTGTGTTGGCTGATCGTGAAACGCCCGTAGGGGGGAAAAAAAAAGCTGTGCAAAAATGGTAATATGGAAACTGTGTCCTGCAATGCACTGCATTTGTTTTTATTCAATTCATTTATTGAATTTCCACAGATCCGAGTTTCACTTTGTAACGCTTCTGACATCTCTAAATACAAATAAATGTACATGAAATCATAGAGCCTTTTCTTATAAATTCCATTACAGACTTAATACACATTGTGTATTAAAAACATTTGAAAATAATATTCGTTACTCGGTTGCTAAATTGGGCAATAATTAATTAACATAAATGCAATTGTATATACTTCTGTGCTTTTGTAACTGTTGTTTTAGTTAACACTGTGGATTGAACGCGTTTGTTTATGTTACACTATCTGTACCCAACACCCAGTTCGTCAAAAGTGGTTCACTTGTTTATCAATTACCATTTGTCAATTTGTTGGCAGTTTAATGGTAAACAGTCAACTTTGTATTATAGCTCTGGTCGTTCTAAAACTTTACTTGAACAGCGATTTTACGACTTATTAGTTTAAAACCCCAGGTGACAGATAAAAATGCACAGAAGGATAACAAAGTGTTGTCAGAAATTGAATGTTAAGCCAAAATCACACACTCAAAAAATGTGAAGAGGGTATTCTATATTACATACTCAAAATACAGTTTTTTTTGTTTGTTTACAATAAATAATTTTCAACTGAGCGGCGAAAAAGAAAATAATATTTTGGTTCAATAATAGATCAAACATTTATTAGGAAATCTATGTTCAATAAATAAGCACAGACAATAAGTTAAAACATATCACAAATTGACCAGTGTATAACAAGAATGGTTATTCTACACAAAAAACAATCTATATCACAGCTTTGATCATTTTGTTTACATGAAACTTTCTCCCCCAAGGTTAATTCTGACCAGTTCATGCAGGTGAGGGTGTGGGTTTGTAATGGTTGTGTGTTTCCAGGGTTTGAAGTACTCACGTCCACATGGCATGCTGATAACCTCCCCTTCATAACATGCTGTGCAGGTGCCATTATTTTTTGACTGAAGCATTTCTTACAAAAGAAACAGAAAAATCACCCAAATCATGAGCTACGACCAACCAGAATGAACTCCCCCCCCCCCCCCCCCCCCCCCCCCAAAAAAAAGGGGCTTGATGCAGTGCATTGAGAAAATGCGAGCAAATCAACCCCTGGTTGCATTTCTCTTTCAATGTGGAGTTGTATTCCAGTCAGCAGGAGGACTGTTCAAGGCAGTTGGAGATATCTACAGCCCCAAACCAATAATAATGGCACCTTCTCTTAACCAGTATTCAAGGTATAGGACAACACTGAAATGTTCCATACACCTGTGTCCACAACACCAATATCTTTGACTCTGCTCTGCAATGACCCGATGTACCGTTACTGAATGTTTTAATAATAATAATAATATATAATAATAATCCTTGCATTTGATTTAGCGCCTTTGTACAAGAACAGTTACGAAATTGTAAAACGATCCATTGCAAGTGGAGTGTATTAAATAAACGTTGAGGAGGAGGAGGTGGGTCTGTGCCACTCCCCCCTCCCAACCCCCACACATTCCCTTTTCCTTTTTTTTAAAAAAAAAGTGCGGAAAGGAACCCCTCACTGTTGAAACCCCCCAAAAAAAAATGTATAAAGTTGGTCAGAGCTCTGGCGTTTGTGTGATTTAAGGTGTTATTGCCACAGGTCATGTTCAATGATCTGGGATCGTGATTCACAGAATGAATCAGCTGGACAGCTGCCCAGAGTGGACATCACCGACAGGGATCAGGTACATCTGGAGGGTCGCCTCTAGGGTTTACTTCCCCCACCCTCCCCCTCCCCACCCCCCACCCACCCACCCACCCACCTCCTCCCTCCCTCCCTCCCTCCCCAACTTAAAGTATTATTGGTATTAATAGTTCAAAGATATTTTGGACCTTATCCCACCCTCCCCCCCTCCCTCCCTGCTCCACGTGTGGGTGCTGAAGGGTGGATCTCAGCTGCTGAGTGGCCTCCCTGGTGTCTGGGTGCTGGGTGGGTGCTGGGTGCTGGGTGGTGGGTGGTGGGGAGGGGGTTGCTGGCTGCCAGGGGAGAGGTGGGGGTGGGGGGTGGGTGGTGGGTGGAGGGGGGGGGGTGCATTAGGTAAAGGTCATGGAGACTGTGTGCTCGAGTGCTTTGCGGCGCAGGGAGGCGATGCTGGTCCCTCGCCACACGTCGCTGTCCGGGGAGGTGCAGAGCTGAGGCGAGCCCCCCGTCACGTTGCCGGGGCCGCCCAGGGAGGTGGGCACCATGCCGGGGAAGGTGGGCTGGTACAGGTGCGGTTGCAGGCCGCCGCCGTTGCTGCCCGCCAGGCTGTTGGAGAGCCCCACCGAGTTGGGAGGCCCCCCGAGGCTGCACTGGGACAGCGACTGGGCCATGGCCTGCTGCCTGCCCAGGGCGGGGGGCAGCTGGAGCTGGGAGACCCCCATGCCCGCCGTGGCCCAGCGGGTGTCGTTGGCGTGGAAAGAGCACAGGCCGTCGCCCATCCCTCCTCCCGGGAACTGGGGCAGCCCCGGGGTGGGCAGCAGCGTCCCCGGGGCCCGGAACACGTTGGTGGTCTTCTTCCGCTTCTTCCACTTGGCGCGGCGGTTCTGGAACCAAACCTGAGACCCACACAGAGAGAGAGAGAGAGGGGGAGAGGGAGAGAGTGAGTGTGAGAGTGAGTGTGAGAGAGAGAGAGTGTGTAAGAGAGAGTGAGTGTGTGTGATAGAGAGTGAGTGAGAGAGTGAGTGAGTGTGAGAGAGAGAGAGTGAGTGAGAGAGAGAGAGAGTGTGTGACAGCGAGAGAGTGAGTGAGAGAGAGTGAGTGTGTGTGATAGAGTGAGAGAGAGAGTGAGTGAGAGAGAGTGAGTGTGTGTGATAGAGAGTGAGCGAGTGAGAGAGTGAGTGAGTGAGAGAGTGTGATAGAGAGAGAGTGAGTGAGAGAGAGAGAGTGAGTGTGTGTGTGTGATAGAGAGAGAGTGAGTGAGAGAGAGAGTGAGTGTGAGAGAGAGTGATAGAGAGAGAGTGAGTGAGAGAGAGAGTGAGTGTGAGAGAGTGAGTGAGAGAGAGAGTGAGACAGAGTGTGATAGAGAGAGAGTGAGTGAGAGAGAGTGTGAGAGTGAGTGTGAGAGAGAGTGAGACAGAGTGAGAGGGAGTGTGTGAGTGAGAGTGAGTGAGTGTGAGAGAGAGAGTGAGTGAGAGAGAGAGAGAGGAGTGGGTGGGAAGCGCTTAGAGAGAAAGGGGCGTCAGTCCGGGAAACATTTCTGCAAAGGTCGGCCTTCGGGGCAATGACTGGGCAGCAATCGGACACGGACCGCAAATGTAGGGCGGCAGTCAATAACACACAGTCACACACACCCCTCCAACCCTGGCCTCGGGGTTTTTAAAAATAAATCATCATTTTCTTCGAGACTTTATTTAAAAACGTTGTCATGGTATCAGGACTTTGCGCTCACCCTGTAAACATCCAACCTGGTACACACCAACCTGGGATGATAATAGTAATAATAATAATAATGATAATAATAATAATCCTATAGAATCAGACCTGGTACACACCAAACTGGGCTGATAATAGTAATAATAATGATAATAATAATAATAATCCCATAGAATCAGACCTGATACACACCAACCTGGGATGATAATAGTAATAATAATAATAATGATAATAATAATAATCCCATAGAATCAAACCTGGTACACACCAACCTGGGATGATAATAGTAATAATAATGATAATAATAATAATAATAATAATAATCCCATAGAATCAAACCTGGTACACACCAACCTGGGATGATGATAATAATAATAATAATAATAATAATAATAATAATAATAATAATAATAATCCCATAGAATCAGACCTGGTACACACCAACCTGGGATGATAATAATAATAGTAATAATAATAATAATACCATAGAATCAGACCTGGTACACACCAAACTGGGATGATGATGATAATAATAATAATAATAATAATAATAATAATAATCCCATAGAATCAGACCTGGTACACACCAACCTGGGATGATGATGATAATAATAATAATAATAATAATAATAATAATAATAATAATAATAATAATCCCATAGAATCAGACCTGGTACACACCAACCTGGGATGATGATGATATAATAATAATAATAATAATAATAATAATAATAATAATAATAATAATAATAATAATAATAATAATCCCATAGAATCAGACCTGGTACACACCAAATCTTATGACTCCCAACACAATCAGAAGTTTGGATAAATAATAACTCCTCCTGGAGTCCTGGTGCCCGAGGCTCCGGGTGAATTGTATCCCAATTTAGGCCATCCTCTTGCAAAAAGAAAGGTCCCAAGTCTTTGGGAAGGAAAGGGCAATCGCTTCTCTTAAAGAGAATTTCCCTCTTCCCGCCCGGTGGGGAACACTCAACTCCCGCACAAATAAGGGGTAAAATTTGGCCAAAATGTGGTCCAAAACAAAGAGAGAGTGATCGCCGGAAAGATCCCATCTGATTACATCTGGGAAAATAAGGGATTGTGTGTGTGTAAAAAAAAAGGCTTTACGTACACAATTAGTCTTTTTGGACACTTCATGTAGATTAGATTAATTATTCTACACTAAAAATAAATAGTTCGGGGCAGAGAGCAAGTGATAGCATTGGTTTATCCCCAGAAAATTGGGATCTTAAGGATGTTTTTTATGTGTGTGTTTGACCCGATCTCAACGTTGTTCCCGAGTCCCTGTGTCGCTTATTCTTACTTTGCAAGTTTCCAAAGTTGCCCTTCGATTCACTATCGATTTCCTGGGAATTTGGTTTCTATCACTTCGACGCCAATAGACGTCGTAGTACGTGCCTTTGCAATCGATATTAAACAAATCCTGGTTTGCAAATGTTTTCAATCACAACGGACTGCCATTCGTAAACTCGTCGCCCCCCCCCCCCCCCCAAAAAAAAAGGAGCGAAAACATCTCAAGTGTCAGACAAGGCGTTGGTTTAAACCATTTCATGCTAAAGGGCGGAGAAGACGCGAAAGTTTTCTTGTTAATAATTCAGTGAGAGGGGGGGAAAGGTTTTGAGGCAATAAGAGTACTCAGAAGGGTTCAGCTCACCTGGGAAAATTAGGCGCAATATATAAATAAGAGCACTGCATTCACTGGGCATTATTGGTGCAATATTAGGGAATTATTATGACAATAACGCTTAAAACACCAAATCGGTTTTACTTGTTATTTGTTCAAAAGGCACGATAAGATCATTGGATGCCAAACGGTTATACAGCTGTGCCGATGAAATGAGCCAAAGCGATGGTTCTCCCTGACACCGAAAATATGAATGATATGATCTGATAACAAAGCGCAATATGGACGAGCAAAATGAGCCGTAGAAATTATGGAAAGATTAATTAATGTTAATTTTGTATCAGTCAGGAGACGATTTGGATCATTTGGAAGCACAATAAGGTATGAAGAAAACGTGTACCGTCGTGGAAATGCAAACAGTTTTATAAAGAATGACCGACCAGGTTGCAACAACCCAAATCAAGCCTTAAGCTGGAAATTGCAACAACAATAAAAAAAATGACTGAGAAACATCAAATATTTATTGTTTCAAAAATATTTCAATGTCACAGACAGCTGCGGTAAGTGTGAAATAATCAAAGCAAACTGCGAAAAAATAAATCAAATCGTGATAGTGAAGACGATTGTTTTGTGCTAATAACATACAATGAACTGAGCCAATGTTCTTCACTGGAAGCAGATATTCTATTTAGCAAAAATTAACCTGCTTTCTACGGGTAGGATAATTGCGGTTCAATCGATTTTTTTTTTTAGTTTTGTTTTCCAACATATGAGCTGATAAATGGGCCACTAGCAATTTTTAACGGATGTTAAGTCGTTTTAGAAAATATCACATTTGGAGTGTTAAATTTTCCTGGCCACTGTAGGCTTTATGAAGACTTCATTGTAATATTTGCGATGATTAATGCGAAGATTTTGTGTGAAATCTGGAGCTCTCGATGTGTTCAGAGCTCAGATTCATTCTGCCCAGCCAGCCGTGAAATCCCAGCGAAATTCATTACACTTTAATAGTGTTAGAGAAAATGCAATTTCTCATTCCATTAGAAAAGTAGAAAATACTTTCAACTTGTCGCCTATTAAGATGTGGCAGGTGACGGGGCATCGCATATCTAGAGTGCAAGGAGTCAGCTTATAGTGAGAATTAAAACACATAATTAGGGAGAAAAGATGAAATGGTAAGGTTCACTGAGCAACAGTTATTTCACTGATATGGGTTTTATGTAAATAAAGTATTGGAAGCTAATTAATACATGCTGGAGCCTAATGATTATGCTGATCATATTGCATTTTATTGCACGCTTTGCATTATTTTCACATAGTCATTTAATAAAGCATTTCAGACTACAGATAATTCAAAAACCCGGTGGTTAATAATGGTTTGCGTGAAATATTTTCCCACAATGACTTAAGTGAAATAAATAAATCTCGGCATTCTTGCGCCGAAAATGTAAAAAGGTAACTTATTATTTTTAAGAAGCCCTTCTGGCGAACTATATATATCTGTCTAGTAATGATTTGAAAGGGTGAATGAGAAGATAGGAGAGAGACAGGGTGCGTTTTTTTTCTTTTGTTTAGCAGACTCCCAGAGAGAGAGAGGAAAAAGTGATTTATCTTCTAATTTGTTAGCTGTGTAAATGGAATAAGTTTTTTTTTTAAGCAACGTCTCCTTCAGTGGAAAATGACAGCAGTGCAGAGGAATCGGCGAGAAACGTTGAATACGACTACAAAACAATGGGGGATGTCATTAAATGTAAGAAAGGCGCTATTTGGGTAAATGCAAAATGTCTCTTTGCAAAAGCGCAAACAGAGCATTCAGGACAAATTATTGGGATCGCCCTGCATTTAAGAAAATCGATCTTAGTAACGAGATCCAACGAAAATATTTTTAAAAGTAAACGAAAAATCGTCCTTAACAATAATGTCATTTACCATAAATTCTGGGATATTTTAAAGTGTTAATTTCTGCAATATATACTTACGGTCCAACACACTTCCTGTCCGGTAAATTATAATTTGAGAATCATTTTATACAAAATGTTTGCTTAAAAGTACTGTGATTTCTACTGTCAACAGACAAGTCTCGAAAGAGCAACATTACAATGTAAAGTTAACAAAACGGCGAATATTAGAATTTTAAATCCTTAATTGAAAATGTGTTTAAAATTAAACCACAATTACACACACGTCGGTCCATCCATTATATGCGATGCACATTTTCAAACCCATTTTAATTTGAAACAGAGTCTTGTTATTCCTATTTAAAACTTTGGGGTTTGGGAATAGGAAACGCTATAAAACGGGGTAAAGGCGAAAACTTTAGTGTGTGTCACTTTGCTTATCTTATATTTGTTGATATATTTAACATGGATTCATTCCGGCATTTATTGGATACTGTAAACACAAATCAGATAGAAACGGTCTGAAAAATAATCCCGTTATGTCTGCATTTAGTTATTTGTACACTGACCAATCTGAATTTGCCATTTATGTTAAAGAGTACAAATTTCCGCCCTTCTCGGTTGTAAAATAATTAACGTGTACCACATGTAAACTGTAGCACGCCTTACAATGCACAGAAAATATTTCAGTCCTCGTTACAATAAGCATCGTAATAGTATTTTAATAATGTGACCTATGTTTACTGCATTTAAATGCGTTCCCTTTCTTTCGTTCAAGTCGCTAATTCTTTCCTTTGCTTCTGGCTGCTCGGTTCATGAATGGTTTGCAGATTTGCAAAGAGTTAACGCGACCCCTGTGAACGTGAAGGAACTGCGCGTTTTTTTTTTCTTGGCCGGTGTTGGGATAAAGAACTTTAGGAATCAGATTCATTTATATTGCAACGATAGAAATGCAGTGTATTGGCCCCGACAGAGAATCCCCACCTGCTGTCACGTTTCTGAAAGCATCTGCAATTTAATACTTTGATTCTTACTCTTCCCTCCCTGCTTTATCCTAGGGTGAGAATTGCTAGCATTTTAAATCAGTGCCCAGCAGTGGTGATGGCCGTGTCAGCAGTAATTACAGATAGCGGCTTCGGGTGATTTACTGATCAAACCTCTCGTCAGAACCCGGAAATCTCACAACACTGTCTGTAGGTCTCTTTTTTTTAAAAAAAAAAGTTGCCTCTGCAGCAGTCACTGTTTGCCTCCACCCAGAGGGCAGTTTTATTGCTCTGCGTTACTTTACCCGACCACAGAAGAACAGCAAAATGTGAATATATTTAATTCCCAAGTCCTGCAAGGAAAATTCCGGGCAGGTACCAACTGCTGAGCGAGTAGTCGAATGTCTTCAACGTTTCAATGTGCTGAATTGCAATGCACATTTTGAATCTTTCTGCATTTAATACCATAACGTAAAGTAATGCTCTGCTTATGACACTGCAATTTCTTTCTATACATAGGATATATATGCATCTAAATATTATCGAAATGTGCCCACTTAATCCCATTAAATCCCCTCAAAGCGTATGAGGTTTTGCGACTGTAAAATCCAAATTCCCGCATATATTTTGTTTGACGTTTGATGCTTTCTCTGTTCATTTTTTTTAATTCATTACATTAATCTGTACACTTAACATCGGCTAATTTTCGTTGTTGACTGTTTTACTTCAATTGTATATTTAGATTCCACAGATGATAACTTTAAAAAAAACCTCGAAACTAAAACATTTGCAATCCGCTTTTATAGGGGTGAATTTTCAGGGGTTTAGAATAAAATGTTACGCAAACAGTTTTAGTCGATTTAAAAATACAGTGTATTTCAAAATCGCTTACACACACGTCGTGCATGCTTCGAAAGGGTTAATTGTGTGCTTTAAATGCTAATTTGTTGAATTGCCCAATACGTTGTGGACTAACTTCACACATACACAGTGAGAACACATTCGCCGCAATATGTTACTGAGCTTTCAGTTTCTGATAGGATTTGTGAGCCTGGCTCTGGGGGGGGGAGTGGAGGAATATTTTTCTTCTGGACAGTCTAACACTGTGTGAGTACATGCACGGGCTGGTTTCTGTACCGAGTTTAAACAGACAGTCTTCATCCTGAACTGATCCTTTAGTTAGTTTGACTTTACTCGTTGCATCCTTTTCATCAGCAATGCAGCTTCTCAAACATTTAACCAGTTCGCCTGGCCCTTCGGCGATTTATTCTTATTCTAATATCTAAGAGGGGGGGTGGGAGTCAGATTTCTCTACGAAAGGGAAAGTAAAGGCGCTTTACAGATTCGTTCTCTTTCGTTGCGACAGACGATCACTCGAACGAATGAACCAAAGTGACACATCTTTGCATCAGAGCGCAAACACACAAACAACAGGGATGCGACAGCGTCTTAACAGCTGGACCTTTATTCCCATCTCTCCTGGATCCCCACAGCACAGCACAGCACAGCACTCACTCACCTCAGCACATAGTTTCTGAAGTCTGCTGACAATTATGCATTCGCGGGAGACGTGCACAGCAATGCCCCACTCTGGGTGGGTGGGTGGGTGGGTGGGTGGGAAACAAGGTCACGTTTCGGGGCGCTCTTGCAGTGAAACGTTTAATGCCTTCTCCCCCAAGAGTTGATTCCGTTCCCGTTGCTGTTTGTCACTCGGTTGCACCCGCTTTTGATCAGAAAAGACCCGCTTCTGGGATATATATATATATTTTTTTTGCAGCGCCCGCGCCTCGCTCTGCTCTTACCTGCACCCTGGACTCGGTCAGACCGATCCTCAGAGCCAACTCTTCCCTCATGAAGATGTCCGGGTAGTGCGTCTTGGCGAAGCTGCGCTCCAGCTCGTTGAGCTGAGCCGGAGTGAACCGGGTCCGGTGTCGCTTCTGTTTCTGTTGGCTCTGCTGCTGTTGCTGCTGCTGCTGCTGCTGTTTGTCCGCGTCTTTGGCACCGGCCGACCCGCCGCCCGGGTTGGATCCGGCCGAGGTGATGCCTTCCCCGGAGAGGAGGGTGGCTCCTTCCACCGCGTCCGAGCCCGGAGCGCAATCGCCCGGGTGGCCCTGCTCGGAGCCCGCGGCCCCCAGTCGGCACTTCACCGCCTCCCGGTGTCCCAGCAAGTCCGCCGCCGCGTCTTTCATTCCTGGGAGAGAGAGAGAGAAGGAGAGAGAGAGAGAGAGAGAGAGAGAGAGACAGAGAGGACAGAGAGAGAGAGAGAGAGAGAGAGAGAGAGAGAGAGAGAGAGAGAGAGAGCGAGAGAGAGATAGATAGATAGAGAGAGATAGAGAGAGCGAGAGAGAGATAGATAGATAGAGAGAGGGACAGAGAGAGAGAGACAGACACAGAGAGAGAGAGACAGAGAGAGAGAGAGAGAGAGAGAGAGAGAGAGAGAGAGAGAGAGAGAGAGAGAGAGAGGGAAGGAAAAAAAACAGGAAAAATCAGGGAAATTGTCCACCACAAAACGACGAGAAAGAAAGCAACAGCAACAAAAAAAAAGACTTTGCGCAAAGAAAAGAAAACTTTGCACAACTTGATATCGGATCAGCTGCTCAGTTACCCGAACTGAACTGAGACAACCAAAGTGCACTTTTTGTTAGGATTTCAAATCGAATTATTTGCGGTAATTTGAAATTAAAATGATTACTTTTAAAGGCAGAGCGTTGGCTGCTTTGGGGGCATCGTTACAGCGGGGATAACCGGGAGCCGGGGGTGAGGGAGAGAGAGTGAGAGAGTGAGTGAGAGTGAGAGGGAGAGAGTGAGGGAGAGAGTGAGAGAGTGAGTGAGAGAGTGGGTGAGAGAGTGAGAGAGAGTGAGTGAGAGAGTGTGAGAGGGAGAGTGAGAGAGAGAGGGAGAGAGAGAGAGTGAGGGTGAGAGGGAGAGAGAGTGAGGGAGAGAGAGAGTGGGAGAGTGAGTGAGAGTGAGAGAGTGAGAGAGAGAGAGTGAGGGTGAGAGAGGGAGTGAGAGAGAGAGTGAGAGAGTGAGTGGGAGAGTGAGAAAGTGAACGAGAGAGTGAGAGAGTGAGTGGGAGAGTAAGTGAGAGAGTGAGAGAGTGAGTGGGAGAGTGAGGGAGAGAGTGAGTGAGAGAGTGAGGGAGAGAGGGAGAGTGCGAAAGTGAGAGTGAGTGAGGGAGAGAGGGAGAGTGCGAAAGTGAGAGTGAGTGAGTGAGTAAATGAGTGAGAGAGTGAGAGAGAGAGAGTGAGTGAGAGAGAGAGAGTGACAGAGAGGGAGAGTGAGGGGGGACGGCTGGATCAGCGCGTCGCTCGCTCGGTCGCTGCTGTCAACGAGAGCGGAGTTTGGCGTCAGCACTCACCGAGGCGAGCGTCCAGGAGGTCGGCGTGCGAGAGCATCGTGAAGCGCTCCAGCGCCAGGATCGCCCCCCCAAAAAACCACCGAGAGAGAGAGAGAGAGAGAGAGAGAGAGAGGGAGAGAGGGAGAGAGAGGTGTGTGGGGGTGGGTTGGGTGGGTTGGGTGGGTTGGGTGGTGGTGGTGGTGGTGGTGTTTTTTTTTTAAAAAATACAAAAAACTACAAATTTCTGTTTGTTGTAAAAGGGGGTCTCCTGCATTATAATCTCCTTTAGAGGGACGGGGTGGTGCTTAACAGTTGAATGAGCCCATGAGCAGCTCCAAATCAGGGCCAATCAAAACCCAACGCTGCAAATGTCAGCGCAAAGTGAGACACCATTACGCATGTCCTGAGGCTTCTCCCCAACCACTCACACGGCGCCAGGAACATTTACAATTCTATTTCTTTTTTTCTCTCTCTCTCTCTCTCTCTCTAAATCTGATTTATTAGCTTTCCACGTCAAATATTATGCCTTTAAATGACCTGTTCTAATTTGGATAATAGATACAAACCAAACATAATAAAGCCAATATTACAGGAATTATATTTATCCAACTGTACCTTATCTGCTCACTCATCCCCCCCCCCCCCCACCACCACCACCACCACTACCACCACCACCACCTTTTTTTAAAAAAAAACTTCTTAATGTATTTCATCAGTTATGATCGTGGAGGTAAATATTTGGTGTGATCACGATTTTATTGGATCTCGTGCAGACGTGCTTTTTGTAAGTCCGATCCGCTCAATAAAATGTTACTGAAACCATCTCAGAATGTTGCAGACACAAAAAAAGTGAAACGAAATGAGAAAAGGGATTCCTGCGAAACGTGACTGACTGATTCCTGTGCAAAAGCGTTGCTTCCACTTGATGTATTGTCGGGTTACGATATGCATCTGTTCCTGTTTACACTGCAATAATACTTCACAAGAACCCACAGTCGGTTCTCGCAGTTTTGTTTTGCAAACCGACATTTCACAATCATTGGAGCCACACAGCACATTTAGGAAACTTGCCTACGAGGCTCAACGCCAAAGCATACGTGGTGAAAGCAGGAAAAAAATATCAATTATATGATTTAACAACTTTATCGTCGCATGAATAGTTTGCCGAAACTGTAAAAAACAGGTGAAGTCATCCATGTCTAATATTCTGATTTTCGAAATCAGCGAACAACAAAGTTTCTGTTAGTAATATATTTCAAACCAGAGTCATTTTCAAGATCATTAGGCATTTATCTAATTAGTGCCAAATCTATAAGCTTTTATTACGATTATTAAAATAAAATCAGTATAAATGTGTACTAATTTACTCCTGGTTTAGACTTGGCTGTCAACCGAGAGATTGTGCTGTTGTGAATGATGCCAATGGAAACAGAGAGCAGAACATTGTACAGATCTGCCGTGTGTACCAACCAACCCACTCAAATGCCATATCTATTAAGGTGACTGTACCTCCTTCTTAGATATTCAACATTTTATGGGGAAATTCAAGGAAACAATACTTAAAATGGTTAATAAGGCACAATTGAGACTGATGTACTTCATTGATACAATTCATCTCGATTGTGATTGATTTTTTAAACAAAATTGATGTAATTAAGAGCATTTATTAAGTAGTAATAAAAGTAGCAAACGAGTGTTATATAAAGTCTTGGTTAATAATGAGGTACAATAGGCTAATTGTGCAGCAATTTATTGACTCCCACCAAACATTTGAAAAGCCTCAAAGCAGATGCAAGAATGAGGATTTAAAAAGCTCTTTATATGGAGGGGCAGACAAAGGAGGCAGTGAGGCACAGATTGTGTATTTTTGTTCTTTTCTTTAGACCTTGGCTACACTTATTCAATTCTGCCTTTAGATACGTCAGTCTACAGAATGAATGCGAGTGTCGATGAGATCCACAGCTCAGCCTTTTAGCCTTGATCCTGGCCAGAGAGACAAGCTTCCATCCCGAGGCTGCACACTGAATGTTGTACCTGTTCATTTCAGTCCATGGAGGGTGGATGCAGAACTCTTCATGTGTTATAAGGATCCATAAAAATACGATGCAAAAAAGAACAGCAACTGTGATCTGGGGGAAAAGGAGAACAATCTACCCTGCAAAACAAAACCATTTTGCATTGCAAGAAATCAGAAAAACAAAATGTCATGGACTTCATTTCTACAGAAGAGGACAGCTGCATCCATGGCGGAGGACTCAGGTGTTGGGCCGACCCTGACTGCATGTATTTTTTTGTGCAATTTTAAATTGGGTTTCTTAAAACGTCGTCACTGTTTTCACGATATTTACATGGATTTTGAATGTCAGAAATTAAGGTTTTCCTTTAATTTTGTAACCGCGTTTTAAATCGCACTCTTGCATTTGTCTTTCTGTTCACGCGGTTCAGTTCAAAGTGACATTGCACGTATGTATATTAAAACGCATCGACTTATCGCTGAACGTTTTAAAGTGTGTGGCGTTATAGAGAGATCAGTGGTTTTATTATTCTCCCTTTACTGTAGTGCGGGGCTGGTAGTGGCAGCGGGTGATTGATAAGGTGCTTGGTTTATGGTTTTTATATCGCTGTGGGTCTGATGGCGAAACAAACAAACCATTATTTGTAGAGGTTTGTGTGTGGGGCTACAACATGATCTAATGGGAGAAGAAAACGTGTGTGTGTGTATATATATGTACATATATATATATATAGAGAGAGAGAGAGAGAGAGATGTAAAAGGATACAAAGCGTCGAGAAAGATAAAAGGGAGAGCAAAGTGCGTCGAAAGGAGGGAATACATATTAGAATCAACATCCTAAAAAAGTTTAATTTATACCCACAATGGTGTTTCTGTCACTCTTTTTTTCGAAGAGAGGGTATGTCTAGTTTTTTTTCTCTCTGATGGACCTGGTGTTTTATAACCTGAACAGATCACCTTTAAGTAAATAGAATGTGGTTAATGTGCTAATCATATTTATTTTTTAGTCCCAATTTTTCTGTGGATTTTATTTTAACTGACAGAGCAGGCAGACGTGCATTTCCAATACTTGAGGCTGAACTAAATGGTTGTACACAAAGACATTTGGTTGAGGCCGCGGACCTTAGAAATCTACATATCGTTGTAACTAAATTTCTATCAGAAAGTGAGTTGGGAAGAGAGGGAACAGATGAGAACACTGACATACCCCTCCGATTGCCTGCGGTTGAGTTTGGTCGTAATAGTTAACACTTTGCTCAAGTGATACAAATACTAATCCACAATGTTAAAGAATTAGCAGCACATCTGTTGTGTGTGTAACGTTTCCGGCAGCAACATTTCATCACAGGTCCAGCAAAGAAAAATTAAAATGTCTGATTCAAAGGGTTTCTTTTTATGGAAGGGATCTATTTGAAATGGGTTCCAGGTTGTTACTTACACCCACAACAGGGCGACAGCAAATGCCTGGAAACATATCGGTTGCTGGTAATGTAATTTATTTACTGAGTTTACTTCTTATAAAATATAAGGATTCAATTTTGTACAAACAAACACAACCCAGTTCGGATCCAGAGACTTGAGGCAGTGCAGGACAGAATCCCGCCCCGTTTTCGTATTAAAAGAAAAGAAAAACCGAAGGCACTTCAGCCGTTATATTTGTTCTCTTTATTGTTTCCATTTATTTTTGGTCTCAATCTGGAGAGACGCTCGACACGGTCAGCGCCGCATAAAAGACCGATCCTGTTTACCTTGTAAATTCATTATATATTCGGGGGCTATATTTTATATATTTTGGAAGGGTCTGAATGTCTGATGTTTCATAAATTTGAACCAATCTGCTTCGAGTGGCGTGAAGTCTGCAAGACGATATGAGCCATAATCGTAAATATTACACCTGTTATTAAATCACAAAGCGCACAATCCCGAATATTACTCGGGAACACTGGAAGTCGCATTGAGTTGGCAATGTTCCCCCCACAACACACACAACACACACAACACACACAACACTGCGAAAATTCAAATGAAAATGAAACAAGTGACATTAAGGCAGCGTTGGCATAAACGCGTTTCACTGCGATACATATGAATAACATAGAAGTGCGCGCTCTATAGTGAGTTGCGACTTAATAAATGTACCAGTTATGTCTCACTGATAAACGACCTGAAAATAATTCACACCGATAAACGGATTATAAACTGTTGTACAATTTCTAGAGATCCACCCAGGCGTTCAACGGGATATTTAGTTATTTCCTCATGCCCCCCCCCCCCCCGGCTTTTCGCCTGGTTTCACCCCATCCTTGAGTTGAGTTTACAAAAAAAAATTGCTCATTCCGACCCTTGTGTTTGAAAGGAAGATTCCTTTGCAATAATTAACGATCGCGCATTTTCTTATTTTCTTGCCTGATGAGAAGAATCAATTTTAATTCACGGCAAATTAGAGCAATGTTTTTTTCTGTGTCGTTCAGTTATACACAACAAGTCAGTGATTGGTGCTCTTATTTACTCTCCTGGTTTTGCATATAATAAACAGCCATGGAAGCGCAAATGTGAAACAATCGGAGAATTCAATCTATTTTTTTAAAAAAAATAAGCTTTAATTAGGGAAACCGTTAAAAAAAAAAGCACAAGCAGTTCTCTCTCCTTCCATTTGCTTCTTAACAAGTTACCGATAATAACAACACATCAATCTTCGCCTCCCCCAAATAAATAAAAATAGACAAACAAACAAATTCGCCTCGAACAAGTTAATGCGGTGTATCTGAGTGGAAAGTAGATATTTTCACGCACTCTGGAGATGAGGATAGACTTTTAATAATATCACAAGAAAACAAATGTAATTCTAGCCAAACCTCATCCCAGTTAGTTAGTTAGTTAGTTAGTATTCCAGCGCTGTGCTCAGCTCAGGCTTCTTAAAACCCAGTTAGTTCCAGAATATGACTGTCATTCAATCAGAGACCTTTCGATCCGCGTTCGTTTATTATTTGGCTATTGCAGAGGTAATATGGCTTATTTTACAAGGATGATTTTTGTTGACTTTTTCCAACTGAGCTAATTCGGGCGTCTATATTCACTCAATTAGAGAATTCTAAAGAGAAAATCGATCTTCCATCTACAGAAATGCCAGGTTAACAAATTAGATTCTTGTTTCGTGCAGGTGATTTTGTGAGAGCGCAGACAGTTCATGAATTAGAAGTAATAAGTTGTTGTGTGGATGTTTTTTTGCCGAGGCCGGGGAGAGATGGAACAGGGGATCGGGGTGCAAGGGATCACACACTCCCCTTCTAACACCACCCCCCCCCCGCCCCAACTCGCCGTCCAACAACCACTAAATCATTGCAGCCGCAAAGCAGTCTTCAATTACAGCGCTTTGCCCCCGAACGTGTGCTCTATTAAATCGTGATTCAGCCAAAAGAAATATAATTATGGTTCCAAATAAAATAATCAGCATTGAAGAGCGATTTCATTAATGAGATGGAGCGGCTGCATGTCACGGAGTCCGGGGGTCTCATTAAAGGCTGGTAATGGGGCTGGGTTTGTGGTGAGGCAGAACAGTTTCTCAACCTGCTTTTTAATCCAACAACTCATATGAGTGAGAGAGTGAGTGGGGGAGTGAAACACAAGAGGAGAAACAAACGCAGTAACCTGGGAAGCGAAGTTGTGCTTCCAAAAGGGGGTTCGATCACAGCTGCTGATATTACCCCAACCCTGAGGGAAAGCTGCTGTTCACTAGGGGCTCCCCTCCCCTCCCCTCAACTTTCATTTACAGTCACTCGCGGGGTCTGTGCACAGGACTTTGTGAGCTTTGATACAACCTTTACAATTTCTGTCACTCCCAAATTGAATTTTTGCTGGTCTGAAGATTTGGGCTTCAGGTTTGCTGTAGCATCGATTTGCTGAAACTGACCTAATTTGGTTGCAGGTGTCCAACTGACCTGCTTCTTGGCCAATGCCCAATATTTTTGCTGTTTTTAGTTTTTCTTTCGTGGGTGGGTGGGTGGTGGTGGTGGGGGGGGAGGCGAGTACGCATATATTTGCTGATTGTGCTGTGCTGTTGCACTGTATATTTCTCTCAATGGTTACTCGTCACAGCTCATATATTACAAAACAAGGTGACGCCAACCCATGTTCTTGGATCTCCCATTTAAGCCATTGATCGTCTTTAACAGTAACCCTCAGTTATTGGGACAAAAGCACGGGCCACCTTCTCCCAGTGCATCACGCTCCAATAGAGGTTACAGTGTTAACCCCTGGACCATTCTTTGACCATAATGTATTTTTTTTTCTTTCAATTTATTTTGCTGGATAGTCCACTGAGTACGCCGAGGATTCAATTTTCATCAATGTTATTAAAACTATTGTCCACCAACTGCATTCAACATAGTGGGGCGTTGAACACTCAAGTGTTCCTAACCAGGAAATGCAAGTGATGTTTGCCTGCACCGTCTTCCTCTTTCACTGGAGACCTTATTGATTCAACATAAGGAAATCAAAAATCGAAGGGAAAATGTATTTTTCAAAATGGGCTATTTGTAGGTTTAAATGCGTTTTAAATGTAGTGAATTTCATCCTCCAAAAGGGGAAATTGGATTTTTTAAAATTAAAATGGTAAAAGTTTGTTTGGTCTTTCAAAAACTGTAGGAAGTTCTAGATAAACTCAATTGAGAAAAAGTGATATATGGCAAAGGAGTCTGTGCAGTATGTTCCCGACCATAGGAAAGAAACGCCTGAGTTTAGAAGTTTTGACTTACTTAACTGGAGCTAGCAAAAATGCCACGAACTCCAGAGACCAAATAAAATACTCTTCCCCCGTTTTAAGGACTTAATATGCTCAAGTACAATGCATAATGTCCAATGAAAGCCATGGGGCAAATTGGCGAACGAATGAGTTTTAAACAAATTACACTGCAGTCCACAAGGAGGGTGTATAGAGTGCTGTTACTTATATAAAAGGGTATGGTACTCGGTTGAGGTCTCTTCAATCTCACAGCTACTAACATATGGACCTTTAACTTCAAGTCCTCTTCCATTTTCAATTCACATTTCCTTTTTAAGCAATCTCAAATATTAGCTACATTACAATATTACCTAAGAGAATCAACAGAATACATCTCATGTCACTAGAGCTCGTCAGAAATCTGAATGTCAGAAAACTAAGACATTTAAAGCCTCTGGAATGAAAATATATTCAGTAATAACGAGGAAATTATTATAAATAAAACATTCTTTACTTTCCAGGTATAACTGTGATAGCCTTCTATTTTGGATCGTTTGCTCCATCGGGAGTCCTTGCGTAATTTGTAAATTATTGCTGTGTTTCTGTATAGATTATTCATTTCCTTCAGGATTCTGGTTGGTTTATGCCAGGCTCAATAGGAATCCACTTCATATAAATTAAAAATATCCATTCTTCCAGGTCTGAGGAAAACCTAGCAAAAGCCAGGAAAAGTCAAGAGCTCATTAAGAAAGCGTTTTGCAGTGGTGGAATAAACTAGCCAATTTCACTTCATCATTTGCACAAAATGATTTGGAACAAATATTGCAGAGGGCATTTTAATACTTGTACGTTACTTCTGTAGCAAATATCTGTTCTCCCTTCAAGTACAAGTAACTTCCATTGTATGATTGCAAATTTGACATTAAAGCCACAGACACCTATTCTAGCGAACTAAGAAAGTGGTTGCAATAATTAGCTCTTGGGCTCTCTACAAAAAGGGGGAAAAGGCACATTTTTGCCAAACAACGACTTGCAAAGCAAATTGGTTTTACTGATTTAACTGCATAAAGCAGGCAGATTGTTATTTTACTGTTGTATAGATCTGAATATGGCAGATTTACAACAGGAATGAAAAGGGGGAGAGAAACATTACTATTTCTGATCATGCTATCATACACTGTGATAAATTTCATGTCACACTGGAGAGTGATAGCACTGTTATATTTAACAGGATTTATTCAGGCATCTATAGAGTAACCAGAGGATATGCTTCACTGTGAAATAGGATTATTTCCACGAGTGAGTTATGGTTGATCTCACCAGTAGAAATTTAAGTTTCTTTTTAAAATAATGCTTTTTGTGTATTGTATAGTTCTTAGAATTTTACCATTTAAGTTTCTAAAAATGTTTTTAATAAGCACATTATTAAAGGCATTTTAATACTTCATTAGGTTGTATGATCTGCTTCCTTTCAGTTGTGACTAAGCAACATCTTAAAAAATAATTATCAGTGATTAAGTATTAATTCATGTAGCAGTCTTAACCACTAACACTAGTTGTTCATCAGTGAGTCACAGAATGGATGCAAATTATTTTATTTAATAAAGTACACAAAAGAAAAGTTGTCCAAATGGGTTGATGCTGTCGTTGCTACAATTTCATACTAGAAGTGAATTGCAAATATAAAGTGCCCAAATACAGGTAATAAAGCAATTGCATACATCCTAAAATTCTTAGGTAAGTAAGTGTGTGGCCCAATATTGTGGCAACTGTTGCTAGATTAACACTTTGTCCAACTTTGTTAAAAAGAAAAAAGTTTCACCATAATCCTTGCATTTGATATAGTGCCTTATCACGTCTTTGAGACATCTCAAAGCGCTTCACAGAATATACTGTAAAGTGAATAGAGTGTATATTTTATGCGTGAAACTCGACAGCCAATTGCACACAGTAGGGTCCCACAAACAGTCCTGGATTGAGTGACTACATTTTGTTATATTTTTTTGAAGGGATTATTACCCCCGGAAAAGTGATCCGCCAATCGACTAACAACTGGTTTCTTACTTACTGCTGGGTGAACAGAGCCATGTGGAGTAAGGAAACTTGCCTAATGTTTCTCCCTGCCCAGGAATCAAACCCAGGTCTTCTCGCTTCCGAGGTAATTGTTCTAACCACTAAGATACAGAACTTCACACCATAGAAATTCAGACATACGCAAATCAGACAATTCATTGTCAGCACACACATTTATTGAATGCTTAATTATTTCATCATGATGTGGCACAATATTAGTTTGGGGTCACAGTCTGCCGCCCAGTGTAGTAGGGCTCAGAGTTACACAGGAATCAGACACACAGTCCAAGCAAAAAAGCAGGGTTCGGTAGGAATGGAATGGGCAGTGCAAATGCTTGCAACAAAAGATCACCATTCAGGAAATGGATTTCTATGCTTCTAATTTGATTGATTCTAGTGTGGCCTGGGCATCCTTGTATTCCTCAGTTTCTTGCAAGTCTTTCTCACTCTCCTAAAAACAAGAAAGAATATACTTTATCAAAATCAGGGTCTTTTTTCATTTTCACATAAATATACACCTTACTACTATACATTCAATCTAAAGTATTCCTACTGACATTCAGTGATTGATAAATACTATCAAACATTTTATACCTATCAGATGGAAGTAACCATATAATACCAACTCCACCTTTGAGAGACTGATATTTTAATCCACTCCACCAAATATGATTAAAAAAAACTCCAACTTACAGTTGCCTGTGGAGGGAAGAGCTTTAAAATAAAAATACCAGTAGTTTTAGTATCTTTAGACCAGTCACCTTTACATGGATGAAGGGAATTCATTAATAATGACACTGAAAGTGAAGCTAGATTTATATTTCCTATTCCTAAAGCATAATGGCAGAGAGGTTTCTGCACGTGTGCAAAAATTCAATATTGATCAGGTCTGTAACATTAAAATGTTTCTTTGACAGTTCTTGGTCCTGAGTCTCATTGTCCAAGAATTTCCAAGGAAAATTCTGGGCAGGGCTCAAAATTATTTATACAATATTTTTTTTCATACAGTATGAAGATAACTGTACTGCTGAGACCACTTTCAGAAAGTGTTTGGAGCTACCGATTGCTGGTGAAAATTAAGCTAGAAAGGAGCAGGAGCATTGGGGTCATCGGCAATGTAATTTCCTATGCGTTGCATATATGCACTGCAGATACTGCGAACACTCCCTGGAAGCGCTCCTGATTTCACTGGCTTTGTGAAGTGACATCAGCAGCACTTCCTGCACATAATGTGCAAATGCAGCACACAACAAATGACATTTGTTTTCCTCTGCATAATGTACAAAGTGCAGGAAATAACATCAGCTGTGACCCCAACACCTCAGACATCAGCCATTTTATAGCATGGGAAGCCAAGTGTTCTACGCTTCTGGTTAGCTCAGGTCCACAATAGATCTGCGTTATAAACGAGGCTACACCCTATTACTTTCACTTCTTTTCTCTCTTCCCTCCTAAAGTCACAGGATGAATAGAAAATGTATGCCCAATGATAAGGGAATTTGAAAAATTCTGGTAAGTGAAAAACTTTCCAAAAACTGGCAAAGAGCTGATGGCATTCCATTACTTTTTTTTAAAGTTTATGTCCAAATGAAAGGCATAGAACAGCTATAATTATGTATAAAATGCAAAAGAGTGAACGCACATTGTGTTTTCATCCAATTACTCTAAAATATGCAGACAATATCAACCAAATTATTCTAGGGAACTAGGTTTCAAAAGTAAGCTTGCTCAAATTTAAGAGCTGGCATCATCTACTGCTTCCCTAATTTGGTATCAATTGTGGATTCAGAAGTTTTATACAAAAACAATTTAATACATTAAATTCCCCATACTATTTATACCTCTGCAAATGGTAGTTCACTGAATTTGTATCCATTTAAAACAATACCTTAACTGATATTTCAAAATGAATATAAATCACACTGCCTTATTCTTAGCAAGAACAGCCTGCTAGTTCCTTTTTGTTTAAAAGAACTCATGTTCCCCAAACAATCTGAATAATGAAATGTATTCTGTTGCAACTTCCAGCTGGGAAGCATACAGCAAGCTCAGTACACATTAAAATATAACTGCATAAATTCAAATAAACCCCCGGTGACCACAAATTTCACCTAAGTTGAATTTGAAATATACCCAGTGTTTCAGGTCTACTCTAGCGAAATAAAGGATCACAATTTATAGTAAGATTAAGGATTTATAGTAAGATTAAGATTAGGGTTCCTAATTGCATTAACTAACATACACTGAAAAGGCCTTAATAAATTAAAAAATGTTTTTAAAAAGTCTCAAAATAAAACATGGTCACTTTCTTCTCAAAATTTAAGTTGTAATTGATAAACCTATTTGAAATGTAATCATTTCATCTTATGCATAATGAATCACACTTTATGATTAGATATCTTAACTGGAATGATAAGTTTCAACTTCCATTCCCCCAAGCGAATATGAATTCTAGATATGGAAAGGGGTGCTTTGCGATTAGAACATGTCAAACTGGAAACAATGTTGACTCACCAATATTTGTGAGAGGTCAGAATGGGCAGCTGCCAACCTACGCTGACAATCTGGGATCATCATCCACGATTCTTGCAGAACCTCCACCTGAAACAGAAAAGCAAAGTCAAAGAAAAATCAAACAAGGGATAAGAAAGTAAGAAAATAAGGGAAATAAAAAGTTATCCAAGAAGCCACCCATACTATTGTTCTGAAACTGACCTTTTAGATGTATTTTTAGAATCAGCCATTTGTTTCATTAAATTTCCTTAAAAACTTACAAATTCACATGATCCCTACATATGGTCTGAACCTTTAATTTTGAAAGTCACCTTCTGAAATTGTTTTTAAAAATTACAAGCTTTGTAATTATATGCTTTGTAATGCTGCCACATAAATTGCTAATTTTATATCTATTTATAAATTTTACAGTTTTGTTTGACACAGTGTGCTTAAGCCCAATGTAGTTCTTTTTTTTAACAAAAGGATCAGCAGTGGGTATAAAGAGCTTTTATCTTTGGGGTAATAAAGAAATGCAGTGCCCAAGTAATATCACACAGATAATTACTGCATGAAAAAAGTTATTGAGTTATTGATCAAACTGTGCGCTCACTGCAGGAGGTTGAGATTGTGAAAGACAAAGGTCTACAGGAGCTCAGACACAAAGAAAGCAGAGACCAGCGGGCTCATCTTCATGGTCTTTAGCATGCATTAGAACTTGTTTTGTAAGATGTGTACCTTTATTCAGGCTAAACTGAAACAATTCTGACCCCTTCAGGAATAAGTGAAGCCCAATGTTAGCCATCAGAGTGTCCAACTAAATGGTGCAGCATTACAGCTTGGAACAAAGGCTTTGGAGCATCAAAGATTTAGGAAATTACAAAAAATTGAAGTCTGTCCCTCAACATTCAAAAGCTTTGGATATGCTGCATTGCAATCTTAGCAACATAATGACTTGAAAACTTCTGTCCAGCCTCAAAGATTTTTTTGGGCAAAATTGTACTTATTTCAGTTAGAATTTCTTTATAAACAGTATAAACTAACAAATACATGAATTAAAGATTGCCCACGTATTAGACCGTAAGGTAACTGTAACAGCTCCATATACCACCAAAAATCTCAATATCGTGATGTATTACAATAAAGATCTTTGTTTGTGAATTATAACTTTGTCCAAAAAATTATATTCTCACACAGAATATACCATTCAGGAGACCTGTAGCTCAATGGTTAGAGCACTCGGCTTGCAAGCGAGAGGCCTGGATTTGATTCCCGGCGGGGTGAAACCTTGGGTAAGTTTCCTTACTCCACACGCCTAATAATAATCCCTCAAGTAAAAAAATGCAATAAAATTGGCCACTTCAATCCACGACTGTTTGTGGGACACTACCATGCGCAATTGGCTGCCGGGTTTCGCCCAGAAATATACAGTCAACTCAGTATACTCTGTGAAGCGCTTTAAAATATCTAGAAGACGTGAAAAGCGCTGTATCAAATGCAAGGATTATTATTATTATTACCATTCATAGGATTTAAATCATCAACAGAAAAACTTATTTTCTGGTGTCTAGGCCACAGCCAAAAAAAAATCAATATTTTAAGGCATGAAAATTAGAATACACTGAAATATACACTTCTAGTGGCAAGGAGAACAAGACAAATTATCTCTCATCAACCACAAATGTATACAAAATTATATTTAAAAGTTTCCCCTTGGTTGGTGTGCTTGTCTAACTTGCCTTAAGAGATACCTACAATAATAATCCTTGCATTTGATATAGCGCTTTTCACGTCTTCGACATCTCAAAGCGCTTCACAGAATAGACTGTAAAGTAAATTGACCGTGTATTTGTGGACGAAACGAGGACGAAATAGACAGTTGTACATTATGCTTTATTCTCCAGACACAAAAACTAAGCTACAGTGCAGCCGCATTATAATGGTTGCAGTGTAGCACAGCTTTGCTTATAGTACTGGTGCCCAGTGGAGCAGTGCTAACTAGAAGCATAGTACACCCACCTCCCTGAGCTGAATAGGCAGCTATCCACACTAAAAAATGGTCAACTTCCAGGTTGTTAGGTTGCAACTGCACATTGAGTATGCGTGCAATACAATGCAGGAAGCTCCGCTAATGCTACTCTCTGCACAGGAAGTGTAGTAAACGTCACTTCACGAAGGTAATGACATCAGGGATGCTCTTGCACATTGTCCTGCACAAGCACAAAAAACGCTGTCAGCAGCAATCTGACGACCTGAAATTTGGCCATTTTATCACGCAGCCACTGAAATAGTGGACTCAGGTGACTGCAGTATAACAAAGTTGCCCTATAATAATAGCCAGTGTATCTCAAAATTGACTCAGTGAACATCTATTTTAATTATTAAAGTCTTAAATACATGACTGTATTAGGTTGAATATGCTAAATCAGGAATACGCTGAATATGCTAAAGCAGGAATAATTCTTACCTCATGTGTAACCCTTACAGATTTTGATTTTACCAATGTCACAAAATAATGTATCAGGGTTATTCATGCTTTTCATAGGATTTGCTTTTTTTTAAAAAAGCAGCATTTTTAACACAGATCTAATGTGAGAGAACCAGGAAACGACTAAACAGTATTTTTGAATAAAATCAAGTTATTCTCAGCATAATGCTGAAGTAGCTTTGTGCTACCTTAAAATGATTATTATGAACATCAAATTTAAATTTTTACAAGCTACAATATAACAAGACTATTAATCAACAAGATGAAACATTAGAAAGAGAATTTAAGTGGAGAAAGTTAGAAGATATTCCATAAAGGGACCTTTCTGTCTTGCGCTTGGTTATGTCAGATTGAGGTCTGACCTTATTATAGTTTGCAGTCACACCAAGTGGTCCCACTCAAGAAGCCCATGTAGATACACAAGTTGAGACATTTAGACAAAACACAAGAAAGGTAATTGTTGTGACCATTGTTTATCCATAGTAAGGGAGGCTAAATTTACTCTTCAGTGCTGAAGTCTAGAAGTAGAATGCTTTTCCTTATCCAAGAAAAAGGTTCCAGGGGAAAGATATGAACTAAATGAACCATTGCTAAAAAAAACTATCCCAAAACTTTGATTCTGTACCTGGCTAATTTTATCTCATCTGGAACCCATTTATTGGTATGCATCACATAGCAAGGTTTTTCTGCAAAATACTAATAATCCTTGCATCAACAGATCAACAGAAAAGGAAAGAAAATCAGATACAAATGGCACAATTGCTTCCATTTCTAGGACTCTACATGGGAGAAGTCAAAAAGGTCTCCCTAGGATTTAGAGATAGATACCCAAAAAGTTAAGGAAGTTTCAATTTTGACAAGTTTAATACATTAACTATTTTTTAAAATCAAATGGCAACGTTTTGTAAGCAGTCAAGAAGCTGAAAACTGTAGAAAAAACTATTGGAGAGAAACTCAACCAGGATCTAGACTTATTATCATTGTTAATAACCACAAGGTTTCCCTATACTTTGATTTGATAGTGTTTTACCATGTTGAAATGTTTTGATGTGCATCATAAGAATTACTTTCACATGCAATGATCATTGTTGGCATCAATGCTTCACAAACTATCAGACTAAACTTTTTTAAAGATGAAAAGGAATATTGATCATGACACGAAGGATACTGTGTTCTTTAAAATACGGTTGAATGTTTAACACAATTTCTAGCATTCCTGACAAAATTGTAGTGATTTTGTTTACAGATGATATTGTGTATATAATAATCCTTGCATTTGATATAGCTCCTTATCACGTCTTAAGATGTGTCAAAGCAATTTGTGGGATCCTACTGGCATAGATGATCACTAGCTTTGCCTAGAAAGCACTCATACAATGACAGTAATTACTTGCCAAATTCTTTAAAACATTTTAAATTGATAATAGTGCTGTAAAATGTTTTTTTCTGATTACATAGCTGAGATTGGAAATTGGTTTCCAAGGAACTGCACATACTAAAAAAAACTCCTTGTGGGGAAGGGGAAGAGAAAGGAGAAGAGTACTATGGAATTACTATTGAATTAGAGGGCTGACTATAGTGCAAGTTAACTACAGTGCAAGTTGAAAGTCAAAAAGTAGAAGGCACATGGAATCCAATGAATAAGAAAGGGTCAAAAGAGAGTTGAAAGAAGTGTTAAGTTGATTGTCACTCATTATCTAAATACAAACCAATAGTTAACAATACAAAGTAAACAACATGTTGGGCGAACATTTACAAATCAGATGAGTTTAAATCCCCAGAATCATCATCAACAACAACAACTTGCACTTGCGGAGTAGCGTCTCAGAGTGCTCAACAGTGGTGGAGCCTGACAGCCAGGGGGGAACGGACTGTAAGCACGGTCGAAAAGGGAGATTTTCAGCAGGACTTGAAAAGGGGGAGAGAGGGGACAAGGCAGAGGGATTGAGGGAAAGTGTAGAGGACTGTAAAGTGCTTAGGGTTAGGAGCAGTTCTGGTTGAAGGGAATTAAAATAGCTATGTAGACTCTGGAGGCAGTACAAACGAGAGCAATTAAATTAATTTTAGAAGAATAAGCTATTAGAACCAAAGTGCAGTTCTTCATCCTGAAAACGCATCTTATAGGGACTTACAGTGGTATACAAGGTGATTTTTTTTGTTAGTGATAAGGTGATTATGATTATCATAAGATGATTAACAAGTGCACAAAAGTAATGTCAGAACAACACTTTTCAGTAGATCAAGGCCATGGTACAAGAAGATACAGGTTCAGAATTGTGAAGGGAAATTTTAGCCAACAAGCGTAGCTATCTACGCACAGAAATCAGAAGCTGCAACATACCATTTTAAGGCCAAGATAATGGATCCATTGAAGAAATAAGAACATAAAGACATAAGAAATGCTAGATGAAAAAAGACCAAGGTCCATCTAGTTCGCCTTCCACCTTCCTGGCGGTTGTATGCACATATGTCCCGAACCACCCATGTACTAAATCCAATAATGTTATTTCCTAAAAGAAAACTTTTAGGAAAGTATAATATAATATCAAGCTAAATACACCAGGTTGATATTATAATGGAAAATGGTAAGGATAAGTGGCTTTCGGGGCTTCTTCATCCAAACCTCTTTTGTAATTTTCTCTAAATAGTCATTCTTTCCTGGCAATATGTTCTAAATAGGTTACTCAAACATCTCACAATGAAGTATGGTTACCTTAATGACTATTTGCAGTAGGTCACACGCAGAAAAAAAAGGAAGAAACTTGATACTTGATGGGCTAAAAGTCCCATTTCTAGGCTGTAACATTCTATGTCTCTCATCTCGTCAATATTTTCTCAAATCTTTTTATCAACTGAAAAAAAATCTAAATTTTCCATAATTGATTTCTAAGTCCTAGAATTTTTAGTTTTTTTTCTCTGAACCCATTCCAATGTTTCAATGGCATTTTGTAGAAAGAGTATCCAAAATACACACCGTAAGTTAAATGTACAAAGAAACATCTTGGTACTCAAATGCCCTCAAGAAATACCTCAAATTTGATTAGTTTTTCTGACAGAAGATTTACATTGACTGAAATCCTCCACTGACTAATCAATCTGATTGAAATCCACCCCCCCCTGAAACTTTGCTTCTAGACACCCTTTTGCTGTACACCCATTTATTGTCTCTTGTTCCAATATTTATAAGATTGCATTAATCTGCAGTATAATCCATCTGCCACTCATCCAACTTAAACTCATCTGCTTAAATTAGTTCAAATGTGCTAGCTTCTCAGTGGAGTGTGCATAGCTCATGGAAAACAAAGAAAAAAGGAATGAGTACTCATACTTTAGAGTTCATAAATAAGAACAGCAGTGAATACCTGTTTTGCTGATAAACACTTGAGGTTTTACCAGCAAGGTAGGAATGCTTGCAATGCTGATTCAACGGAGTACTGGACCAGCTACTCAACAAGCCCAAATGCAGCTTTTTAACCTATAAATTATATTACATAACACATTACCTTAAAACAAATCAATCTCTTTACAGAAGTGCAACTCTGGGTCTCAGCAGTAATTATAAGAAACATACAGTTGGTACTTTTGTATATACAACCAGCTAAGAATGTTTCTAACGACCCAGTGACACTATGCAAACAGTGGTAATGAAGATAGATTACAGACACTTAGCTGCCAAGGTCAATAGCTAAAGTCTGTCTTCACTACTAATTTTGCTCAGACCCATTCTCTAAAAGCATTTTTTCATTGATTTCATAGGAATATTTTATTTGATTCTGCTGCATATCTGTAACAAAATATCTGAACCGGATTAGACATTTTATTTCGTAATCAGATTCAGAAAAAGAAAAATGTACAATCATCCTGCAGCTATATAACTGAAGAAATCACCAGATACTGTTTTAAAATAGGTGTGTCAAATGAACAGCTATAACCCTGGACTTTGATTAGCCAATATTCCCAATTGTATAAATCCAGTACTCCATGCACCATTACTGTATTTGATGTGAATTAAAAGGACTATTTAGGAAAGTGTGCATTTCTCTGCATCCTGGTCAATATTCTTCTACTCCAAATTCATCCCCAAAAATTAATTGGTCAATTGTCTTATTATTTCTGGAAATTTTCTGGTGCCAATGGGCTGCATAAACAACCAGTTGTGCACAAATAACTAGTTACTAAGTTTCAAAGTAACTCACTGAGTGAAACACTTCAAGACTTTGGACCTAAGGAACTACATCAGCTACATGTGGCATTATGAACAAAAGGAGATCTGCTTTGGATGGATAACAATTAGAATCTGTGCAACAATATTAAGTAAGTGCTTTGTGGTGCCACCTACATGAAGGGCGCTATATAAATCCAAGTTGTTGCTGTTGAAGAAAATACATGATTTGTCCATCCTCTGTCCAATTTGGTCTTGCACTTCCCAAGGTGATCATTCTATCTTTCAGATGAGAAGCTAACCGGTAAATAGCAGTGCTAGTATCTAAGACTTCTGGTACCATCAAGCGCTGTGGAATGCTACCCTGCATGAAGGCGCTATGTAAGTGCAAGTTGTTGCTGTCGTCATTGATGTAGGTATAATGCAGCGCACCTTTCTTTAAGAAAGCCCCAACTTAAATGTGATTGCATAATTTGTAGTTTCCTCTTTACTGAATTCAATAATTGCGAAATTGCTTTTTGCAAAAGTAAAGCCCAGTTAGAACACGTTTGTTAGGATATTTTTCTTCCAAAGATAGATGTTCTCTAGCATTCTAATGACCCAGTGGAAAGAAAACCAACAAGGGTGTAATTTGTGCCCAACTATATATCAACTTTAGAAATATTGATCAAAATTTAATCACTTAGTATTTACATTCCCTCTGACCTAGAACAGATATGAGCAACACAGTCAAATTATTAGTTATTAAGGATGGTGCAAGGATCTAAGTCACAGTACCTATGCAAAGTGTAAAATTACTCTAGTTACCTCACAGGTGACTTTAAAATGGACACTGAGTATACAATTATTTACTCTGGTTTAATAATGAGGGAGTAAATAACAAGAAAAAGGGTTTTGAATTACTATGCTGTTCAGTTCCTCTAAAATCAAAGCGCTCTACAATTGGAAGCAAGAGAGGCAGTAGCATTAATACTATTCACATAAATTTAACAATGTATTATCAGAGTTTTCTGCAATGTATAGCTACATCATGCACCAAATTAAAAATTTTGAACTACCGCCACACTTGTCCCAACCTTAATTCCCAGGTATTCAGTAGGCTCATCAATCCAACAGTTAATCAGCTTGCTGAACTGTAGAAACACTGGCTGGCTGCAGTCACACTAGCGGACTGGTTCTCTTATACTGGCAAACAGTCACGTTCAATTGAAGAAAGCTATTTTCATGTAACAATTTTATATGCAAGTTTCACCATTGTAACAGTTCGCATCAATGTTTAGAAAACGTGAATGCATTAATAAGGACCATGATCAACATCGAAATGATGTGTGAATGTGCATGCGCAGTTGGTGAAGTAGATTACACCCATTTATGACATGAGTGATAACATTTTAAAACAATTTACAGGAACAAAGAGCAACTCAATATTTTAAATGTTTCTATTGCTAGAAATAGATTATACATTTGACCCTTCTAAATTTGTGTCCTCCCCCTTTATCAGCAAATGTGTCTTAGCTATCTTAAAGCTAAGATAGTGTATACGTTTTGGTTTATGTTTTAACCAATTTGAATTTCCTATTCTACTAATAATCATACAGATAACACAATAAAAAGTAATGCACTGTAGTGAAATTTAATTTAGAAGTTTTATCATGCACATCAATCAGAAACTAAACTTTTTAAAACTTAAATTTCCCATCATAGTTGAGACATGGACCCCACCGTCATATTTAAAAAAAACTTAATTGACAGACTTTGAATGACTTACTCGTATATTAGTGAATTCCAATATCCCAAGAATTCTCTTAGCTTTTTTCTGCAACTGCTAGATTTGAATCTAGAATCCAGATCACTAATACTTCACAATTTAAAAACCTTAACTTTTAGATTTAATTTCTAATTCAAACATGCACATTATGATTTTCGATGTCAAAAAATTTCCAGTTACAACATAAATGTGGAGAAATAAATTCACCTGTTTTTTGATCATATATTCATCACCCTCGTCAGCTTTTAGTTTTGCAACTTTTTCTTCTTGCTGTTTGGCTTCTTTTTCATACATAACTTTTTCTTTCACCAACCTGCAGATTAAAACAATATCATGATAATATTCAAGTCAAACTGATAAAATCAAGTTTTTTCCTCATCACCATACATACAGATATTTGGAATTGTTTAGTTAATGATTTTGTGAATTAATGCACAATTATTTCAATACAAGTTTCCACTAATATATCACGACTACTTCAATACTTAAGTGTCACAAAACAAAGAAATACATTTCACAAAGTTTGTGCAAAGGTTCCTTCATAATGAGCAAAGCATTTAAAAATCCTAAAGGTTAAACATACCATCTATTGCTAACTATTATTTAATAACAAAAAAGCAAAATTTGATCCATCTTTTCTCACATTTTCCTTTTTATACAGATACGAATCCAGTCATTTACAATCCAGCTGTAAGCTCATTAGCTGCCATCCGTGGCGCGTTCAGCTCCTTTCTGCTCATTCCACTAATCTCCTCTCTTTACTCCATTTATTTGCCATTTTTGCTGCTGCTCCTCTACAAAATACAACGCTGCCCCTTCCAAGATTAATTGATCATCAATTTAGTCCTCATTTGGATCAAGTCAGGTGGTAAATGGACCACTTTTGCTTGATTGTTAGTGAAATGTCTGCAAGTACATTGATAAATTTTGATTATTTATCAATTACCACCAAATGAACTAAATCTATTGAATAAATTCCTGCCTGATTGCTATAATAGAGTTTGAAAATATTGCTATTGATAATGATTCCCATTAATAGTTTCTTCCGGCTGCTGTTGCCTGGTTGTCGGCAAGACAACAAAGAATTCATTTTTCATAACATCAGCTGCATGTGCCTGAGCAATCCTTCATTAATCAGTTACATTACAGGGCCGCTCCTCTGTAATGTGTGTTGCTTTGCTCAGAAAGCTTAAAACACTTTGTCATATTTTATGTCAATTACCAGTAATTTTAATATCCTTCCATCAAAGCATCTTGTAATAGTTAGCATATGCTGCAGCAAGAATCTTAAGCTTCCTTGAGATCACTTATTGCAGTTGTGCTTGTGTTTAGTCATGCTGTCTTAGGAAAGCAATTTTAAAAAAATGGGCTAATGAACACGCATTCCATAGTCTTAATTTATACTTTGCCAGCTAAGTCACTTATATGAAAGGTGGAGCTGAGCTTATTTTAAATGAATCTGCCAGTGTGTTTTCCCAAAGTTAATGGAAACGCAGCTCTCTGGAAAATGGAAAAAAGAATTAGACTCGACACACACTCAACTACTTTAATACTGTATTTTTGAGCCATGTAGCTAGTGCCAGTTCAAATGACAAAACTAAATTACTGTTGTCATTTTATTAAGGGCATCCGCTGTTTCTGGCACTAACTCAAATGTGCAAAATTGCAGGAATACCATGCATAGTACTTTCAATGACCAAACAGGGGAGAGGAAACGAGAGCAGTGCTTCATTTTACTTTGCACTATGACTGTAGGTCTTACACAAGGTCACACATATATTGGTAGATCTACACCTAGTATTGTTTCAGAATTATAAATGGTTTAGAAAGGGAGCCACCGTTCAATAAATTCAATTTCAGTGTCTATAGAAATATTCTATCATGGACTGAAACCTTTTTTAATGAAGGCTAGAAATCACCAATAATCTGAGGAAGGAATGGCGATAACAATGCATAAATATACATTCAGATGCACATTTTCATGCTGTTTTTCGTGCTGATATAATGAAATCCTTCTATTATATTACACACATTCCATCACACTAATTCAAAACCACCATCATAAAAAATGTAAAATAAGCTATTTTCACAGAATTTAATCAGTTTTGTTATTGAACATGATCTATGTGCAGTACAATATAATACTATAAAAAACTAGAAAGTCTAGATTCAATCTCTGGCCTATGCTTAGTTTGTCTAAGTAACTTTGGTTTGGAAGGAAATTGGGGGAAAACTGAATATTTCTGCTCCTGATTGACTACAAAATATACAAAATATAGATACAATACTATATGTGAAGCACGTTGAGACATCCTCCCGACATGAAAGGTTCTACATCAATTGCCAGGATTATTATTATTATCCAGTATTCACCCACTGAAAATGTATACATATGAAGATCAGGAATATAAATGAAAAGCTCAGAGTCAACTAACATGGACTGGTGCATGCAAGTTGCTTTTGGACTGCTGTATATAGAATCAATTATTTTTGAAAGCAGAAAGGTAAAGCTAAAATTTTTTTAAAAAAACTTACATTTGATTTAATGCTTTTCAAGTTCGGAAGACTTCTCAAATTGCTTCAAAGGATCCACTGTACAATGTAGTCACTGCATTTTGTAGGGGAATTTAAGATGCTTTGAAAAAGTTAAGTTTTAAATCATTTTATTCTCCAAACTCATTTAATTTTAGTGTATTTTAACTAACCTCAATATTGAAATGATTATCTTTTCCATTATTTATAGTACAATCTTATCCATTATTTAGAATAATTACCATATGAATGTTTTACCCACTATTCTGGTCATTCTTTACCTCTACAACTGTCCTAATTTTACCGTCTTACAATATAGGTTTATCTTATTTTCATCAGTGTCCTTCGGAATTATTTTTGATGCTGCAATAATGTAGTTTGAATCCAAGACTGTGCAACAGCTCAAATGTACCCACACCTGGAAAACTAGCACCAAAGAATATTGCAATGTTCAGCCTATATCTGTAGTCACTTTATAAATAAAAGTAACCTAAATTGAAATCTACTTCAATGTATCCCAGGCCACTCTGTGGGACGGATGTCATGGAGCTCGGCCTGTGATTGACATATTAGTTAGCCCAGGGTTGATTTACATTTCAAAAGCCAAGCCAGGTGCCTTTAGAGGCTTTCAACCTCTTGGACTTTGACTGGGAGAACCTTTGCCACACAATCGCATGACAAATGGCACTGTTAATAGAATGGATCAATACTCTATGGGTACTAGAATAAAATCCACATGATTTTATTCTCAATGGCCTGGTGCTGATTCCTTAGTGAAAAATCTGTGGCAAATTTCCCATACAATCATGTTATGATGGGAGGACGTGAACCTTAAACAGTAGTCTGTGATGGTAAGTATATGGTTACACGTGGGAGTGTTTGAATACCAAATGTAAAGCTATATTCAGTACTGAGATGATGAAGTAGATAAAGAACAAATAGCATACAAACAGTGAATCCAGAAAGTTCACCAATTTGCTGGAAAGATTGGACTTTGGTATCATGCTTTTTTGTGCAATGTTGTCAAAGTATCGATCAACATAAAAAAGATTGTCACAGGAGATAAAGCAGCAATGTACGAACACTGAGGAAATGTAAACTGATGCTTCATGGATGGGACTCCCTTCATGTAACACACAGAAACACAAGCATGAGTAATATTCATGACTCCATCAAGTCACAGAATCTTAAAGAGACATCATCATTTGTTATTTTGGTTTGGTAAAGCGCATACTTATTGGTTCTGATACTCAGCGGTGTGTGAAAAATGTCTCCAATGAAGAGTGGTACGGTCCCAAGATAAGAAAACTATTTACTTGAAGGAATGTTACACATTTGGGAACATACATCTTGCACATTACATTCTGCATACGAGTGGGACCTCCCCACAGTATCACTTATCCACTTTAATAGAAAGGATAAAACAGTTGCTAAACTAAAAATGATTGTATACAACATTAGATTGCATGAAAAGATACTTAGTTTTTACTTAGTTCCCCTGTCTCAACAAAAAAGCTAAATAATATGTAATATATATATATATAATCTAACTAGCAATTGTATTGAAACAGTTTTCACATAAGATATTAACACAAAATCTGATCAATAAGTAATAGATTTGGGGATTACGATCTTATTCCAATATACAATACACTGTTTCTTTTAAATGATCTATAGTCTATGTCAGGCATATTAAACAAGCTGTAGTATCATTAAGACCAGCTCATAGATATTACATTACTGATACGTTACTGATATTCTTTAACACTATAAAAGACACCCATTAGAATATAACATTCAAGGAACTCTAGGTACCATTGACATTGTTTGCAATAATTAAAGCTGTCATTTTCTGTCATTATACATTTACATCACAAGTTAAGGTTGGAATAAGACCACAAGATTTAATAATAACAATAATCCTTACATTTGATATAGCGCTTTTCACGTCTTCCAGACGTCTCAAAGTGCTTCACAGAATATGCTGCAAAATGAATTGACTGTATATTTGTGGGCGAAACGCGGCAGCCAATTGCGCACAGCAATGTCCCACAAACAGTCGTGGATTGAAAATGACCTATTTATTATTATTTTGTTTTGGAGGGATTATTATTAGGTGTGTGGAGTAAGGAAACTTGCCCAAGGTTTTGCCCTGCCTGGGAATTGAACCCAGGTCTCTCGCTTGCAAGGCGAGTGCTCTAACCGCTGAGCTACAGGACTCCACGTAGGAGCAGGAGTAGGCCATTCGGCTCCTCGAGTCTGCCCCTGCCATTTAATAAGATCCTGGCTGATCTTCTAACCTAATTCCATTTACCCACCCTATCCCCATATTCCTTAATCTATCCTTTAGAAATCTATCAATCTCAGTCTTGAATGTGTTCAAGGACTGAGCACCAACAGCCTTCTTGAGCAGAGAATTCCACAAATTCACTGAAGAAATGTTTCCTCAACTCAGTTCGAAAAGGCCGACCCTTAACCATGAGACTATGACCCCTAGTTTTAGATTTTCCAACCAGGGGAAACAGTCTCACGGCGTCTACCTGTCAAGACGCTTAAGAATCTAATAGGTTTCTATAAGATCACCTCTAATTCTTCTATACTCTAGAGAATATAGGCCTAGTTTACTCAACCTATCCTCATAGGTCAATCCCCTCATCCCAGGAACCAACCTAGAGAATCTACGCTGCACCCCCTCTAAGGCAAGTATGTCCTTTCTTAAATAAGGAGACGAAAGCTTCCTCCCGACGTGAAAGGCGCTATACAAATGTAATCTTGTTGCTG